AATAGTTACAAGAAGGTAACGAGCCTGAGTAACACAGATGAAGCTCCATGTGCTGTGTGACATGGAACTAACACAGATAATCCTGGAAAAGCCATCCATCTGTAGCTGAATTTGTTTCGTCTTCATTAGAACCATTAGTGAAGTATAAATGAGCCAAGAGTTTTGAAAAGCTAATAATTCAAATATACAAAGCTGACCCTTTCCAAAAAATAGAATGTGCTCAAACCTGAAAAGAAAGATTAAAGACGCATTCTTTGTCACCATTTGTATTATTCCTCAAAATATGTAGATAATTTTTCCCTCAGAACACCCACCAACACGTACAGGCTGCAAGCTAACACTATCCAGAAAAAATCTCTATGCTTCTAGATGCATCCACTCCTGTAAGGCAGGGGGACAGGGAGTAGGCAGTTTTAGAAACACCAAGCATGGAAAAATTTATCATATTAAAGAAGTAAGAATAAATATTATAGACATTATTAGTTATATCCTGCAGGAATACAGTCACAAAGTTCCCAATCCAGGACATTGAAGTAATGCTGGACACCAAAATTGGGGTTTGAGCTTCTCTACATTGAAGAGCTTCTGCAACTTCACCCAAATTGTCAGATTCCCTTAATGATGCAGGTCACAAGGTGGATTTAAGTCTGTTCTCTGCAGACACACCAGGAGCAGCAATGGCAAACGCCGTGTACTTCAAAGATGTAGAGATTGTGCAACAAAGTCCTACATCACAGTTTAATGATATTTCAATTGACAACTCCTCCCTTTCTAATATTACCAAAAATCGAGGTTTTAACACTTAGCAAAATCTACAACCAGCAGATAAAGTAATTTCTTCCAAAATTCCACCCTGGTTCAACAGGTAAGCAATGGTAGCACTTAGAAGTGGGGATAGTGAAAAACTTGTTACAATGTTTCAAGAAATAAGTACAGAAAAATACAACACAAAACAGGAGAACATATTTCCAGTAAAATTCTGGGGAATTGAGAATAAGAATAGTCTCTCCCACAGCTTGGGCACGTTACTGGACTCCAGTAAGTTTAATAAACTCAGCTCTGATCATCCGAAGCAATGGGAGAGGCACAGACTGTCTGCCATCTGCAGACAAAGTCCAAGTAACAAATTAAGCTGTGATGTGAATTGCATTCACTTTCCCAAAACACATTAAAATTTAAGTTCCTGTAGAAAGCAGCAACGACTTGGAGAGCAATATGCAGCACAAGACCTAACATTAGCAATGGGCATGGAGTGCCACACACTTGATGGCACTGTGCTACAGCCAGAAGTGTTACCTCAAAGCAGGCCTTGCACAGTTTAAGTGTGATAACAGCTAATTAGTCTCAGACACAGCTGACTCTTCACCTTCACCTGTCCCAGAGCACATTCACAGGGTCTTCAAACCACCTCAGTATCATAACAGGTCAAAAGGTTTTGGCACCGTCAGGCTGCTGCTAGAGAAGACACCAGGACAATACAAGTCCAGCACAAAGAAGGGAATAATCCAGCTTTGATAAGAAGAAAATTGTTGGTGCCAACAGACACTGGAAATCTCCAGCTGCTGTTGCTGCTTCTGAAGTTTGTGATGCTCTGACTCGCTTTTCCCCTTAGGTGGAACATGTGGGAAGAACACCAAACAGAAGACTGAGGAGCACCCTTCTTCTCCCACCAAAAGCAGCTCCATCAGAGCACCTCTGCATCAAAGTGTTGCTTTACTTGCAATGACTAAGAAATAAATCAGAAGCACTCTAGGAAGTCATGAGACGAGAGGATTTTCTTTAACAGAAGCTAAAACAAGCAGAGACAAAATAGACAGTACTAGACAAGCCAGCAACAGAGAAAGTGAGTGTGAAACACCAGGGAAATCCCAAACACCAAGAAAATCACAAGTGAACATGCCAAAAGACTCAGATAACCACTCACTGATTAACTTCACATTAATCTCCAAAAACAACAGCCAAGCAACGTTGTTTTTTAGATCTGATCGGTCAAAAGCAATTTCATGTTCATGTAGTTCATAAATGTAGTTTCATATAAGTAATTGACCTTATATGGCACTCAATGAGAAAGCGTTTCCTTATAATAAACAATTAAGAACTCCTAATCTCTGAATTTTTATAGGAGGGGATGATCATCATTTAGGGAGACACTTATAGCATCAATCCCCATGGAATTTGCTAGGTCAGATTTCGGTTTGGGAGTGGGTTGGTCATCTTTTTTAAAAAATAATTTTCATTAGCAAGTCAGGAAACATCTGACTGATGGCATTTGGCAATTAAAAATATGAAGCAGAAAACAGAGCAGATCTGAGCTACCCAGTGAGCTGGGTAGATTCTACAGTAATGCTGGCTACCAAAGCAAAAGGTATTTTAAGATAGCTATAAAAAACACATTTTAATAGTGAAACAAGATAAGATTACTCTTCCAAGAAGGTCCCCATGCAGGCTGTAGTAGGGAAGCAACTAAAGACAACTCAGTGGGACACTGGAACTAAAATTGTTAATAATATCCCTGCATTCTAACATTACCAGGCTACTGACAGTGCTTTCGGCTTTGCTTTCTGCAATACAACACACAGAATAATAATCACAGTTCTAGTATCCATTTTAAAAGTATCCACCTTTAAAATCATGTTTTAAAGATCAGTGGAAATAGGCCTAAGAGTTTTAAAGTGATTATAGAGTTAGGAAATAATCTTTCTGAACTTCAACTCCTACTGTATGTAATGAGATAACAGATGTGCCTTGATAATAGCACCTTATCATCATTCTGGACAAGAAATTCCAGAAAGTATGAGCTGGAAGCTTATGTTACACAATTTTTGTTCTGAGGACAAGCAGCTAACCTTGGAACGAGAACACCATCTCTCAGTATCTTTAAAGAAAGGCGGCCTCGCTGGAAGATATGCTTTACTCCACTCTCACAAACCCACCTTACCTCTTCAAGATACTAAGGATTCACAGCAGGTCATTATTCACTCCTGTTTGTTTCTCAACAGTAGATTCAAGAGATTATTTCCATTGTACACTTTTAGTAAACACTGATGCAGCAAGGTCCATGCAAATGAAAGTACAGATAAAGAAGTAGATGATAACATACTGTAAGATCAAGCCACCTGCCAAAAAAGCCAAATTGGAAGATGTACAAGAAACAGAAAAAGACTGGCTATTTTCACTGGAAGACCACTTGCTCAACTCTAATTGCTAAGGATTGCTGCAGTGTTAAAAGGTAGCTCTTCAAAGTATTTCTTGTAATGATATTTGAAGTGGCAAAAGAACTCCTTCCAAAAATAAAATAACCCTGCCCCAAATTATATCTGAAAATGTCTAAAATACCACGCTGTTCAATAAAGCGATAATGTTCAATAAAGCACACACTATAAAGCAATAAATGATGTCATTGGCCACTGAAACAAACAACAGATGCTGTCCCCCAAACCAGGATGAATGACCACAGTCAAACCTCATTTTGTAAGTATGAAAGTACAGAACAATGTCCCAAGACATTCCTCCTACCCTACAGCAGCTAATTTAATGTAGCTGGGATGAGTCTTTCCTAGTAAGAGAGGAAGCCAACTAGACAAGGACAGACCACTATGGTTTGACCAGATGGATTAGATAACAGCAAATTCTTTACCTCACAGCCACAGCAGTTATACAAGCCCACAGGGAAATTAAATGTAACTTACAACATACAAAGTTTAGTACAGAGATTATAGTTACCCAAAGTTACAAGATTTCACCCATGTAGCTTCTTTTAAGCTGAAGTATATGGCTAAAAAAAAAAGTCTCATGCTATTTCCCCACATACATAGAATCCACAAAAAAGTGTGTTAACATCTCTAAATCAAATAGCTCCAAAGAACCATGTTTATTAGCACCTACCAAAAATGCAAATACTGGGGAGACAACAGATAAGCTGACTACGAAAACAAAAAAAAGTACTAGACTTTCCACAGGCAGTGGTTTTGCCTATAAACCAAGTACCAGTGCCACCTTCCCTACACACAAGAGGAAAGAAGTGACCTACAAAGAGAAGGTGAACTTTGTGGACTCAATGCACTATGGTCCAAAGTATTGAGGACCTATTTTTCTAGATATATTAAAACATTTAGTATAAAATAATCTAGAGGGTCAACTCGAAGAGCAAAACTGGAAGATCAAAACCAAGAAAACCTCAGAGATAGAGTTTAAATACATGAAGAAAAAAAACCAAAAAATACCCCAAGTGATAAACCCAAGTGACCCCAACAAATATCAGCCATCTCCACTGTCCCAGCAGGAATATTCAACAATGGAACAGAAAACAGAAGAGTCGATTGAAATCCAATTGCTAACTACTTATGATCCTCAGTGGCAGAAGAGAAAATTTAATTGGACCAATTTGCACATTTACAGCATCTTTTGGTCTAACAATAACCCACAGAAAATCTACAGTTGGTTTTTGGAAAGAGCCAGAATTTCTTCCACAAGCAAGTTTAAAATATCTAAAGGGAAATTATTCAGAGAAGCTGTGGCTGCCCCATCCCTGGAGGGGTTCAAGGCCAGGCTGGATGGGGCTTGGAGCAACCTGGTCTGGTGGGAGGTGTCCCTGCCCAGGGCAGGGGGTGGCACTGGATGGTCTTTAAGATCCCTTGCAACCCAAACCATTCTATGATTTAAAATTACCACTTAAGTTTGAGCATCAGTTTTCAATATCGCAAGAGCCTTATTCATTCCTCCCACTGTAAGTTCTAAGCTTAGAAAAACAAACCAGAAATCACTGCTAATTTGCATCCTGTTTGAAAGCTATTTCTACAAAGGAAAAAACCTATTAAGAACTGTGCACGTATTTTCATTGTAAAATGAACACACAGTCTCATTAAATTACAATAAAAAAGAAAATCCAGGTTTTTCTTTTTTCTGATTTAATACTTATCAGTTTTCTTGCAAACTATGTAACAGAGGAGTTTAAAACAACAAAAGCTAGAACACAGAACAGCACCACCAAAGAAGTTTTTCTACACACCTTGTGCCAGCTCAAACTGTGCAAAAGCCACGTGCACAAAAGCAAACTTCTTGCAGTTCAGTCTGGCCAGATGAAACTGGTCCCGGGCCTCCTCTGGATCCTGCAGACTGGAAAAACAGCACATCAATAGTTACAAGAAGGTAACGAGCCTGAGTAACACAGATGAAGCTCCATGTGCTGTGTGACATGGAACTAGCACAGATAATCCTGGAAAAGCCATCCATCTGTAGCTGAATTTGTTTCGTCTTCATTAGAACCATTAGTGAAGCATAAATTAGCGAAGAGTTCTGAAAAGCTAATAATTCAAATATACGAAGCTGACCCTTTCCAAAAAAAAGAATGTGCTCAAACCTGAAAGGAAAGATTAAAGACGCATTCTTTGTCACTGTTTGTATTATTCCTCAAAATATGTAGATAATTTTTCCCTCAGAACACCCACCAACACGTACAGGCTGCAAGCTAACACTATCCAGAAAAAATCTCTATGCTTCTAGATGCATCCACTCCTGTAAGGCAGGGGGACAGGGAGTAGGCAGTTTTAGAAACACCAAGCATGGAAAAATTTATCATATTAAAGAAGTAAGAATAAATATTATAGACATTATTAGTTATATCCTGCAGGAATACAGTCACAAAGTTCCCAATCCAGGACATTGAAGTAATGCTGGACACCAAAATTGGGGTTTGAGCTTCTCTACATTGAAGAGCTTCTGCAACTTCACCCAAATTGTCAGATTCCCTTAATGATGCAGGTCACAAGGTGGATTTAAGTCTGTTCTCTGCAGACACACCAGGAGCAGCAGTGGCAAATGCTGTGTACTTCAATGATGTAGAGATTGTGCAACAAAGTCCTACATCACAGTTTAATGACATTTCAATTGACAACTCCTCCCTTTCTAATATTACCAAAAATAGAGGATTTAACACTTAGAAAAATCTACAACCAGCAGATAAAGTAATTTCTTCCAAAATTCCACCCTGGTTCAACAGGTAAGCAATGGTAGCACTTAGAAGTGGGGATAGTGAAAAACTTGTTACAATGTTTCAAGAAATAAGTACAGAAAAATACAACACAAAACAGGAGAACATATTTCCAGTAAAATTCTGGGGAATTGAGAATAAGAATAGTCTCTCCCACAGCTTGGGCACGTTACTGGACTCCAGTAAGTTTAATAAACTCAGCTCTGATCATCCAAAGCAATGGGAGAGGCACAGACTGTCTGCCATCTGCAGACAAAGTCCAAGTAACAAATTAAGCTGTGATGTGAATTGCATTCACTTTCCCAAAACACATTAAAATTTAAGTCCCTGTAGAAAGCAGCAACGACTTGGAGAGCAATATGCAGCACAAGACCTAACATTAGCAATGGGCATGGAGTGCCACACACTTGATGGCACTGTGCTACAGCCAGAAGTGTTACCTCAAAGCAGGCCTTGCACAGTTTAAGTGTGATAACAGCTAATTAGTCTCAGACACAGCTGACTCTTCACCTTCACCTGTCCCAGAGCACATTCACAGGGTCTTCAAACCACCTCAGTATCATAACAGGTCAAAAGGTTTTGGCACCGTCAGGCTGCTGCTAGAGAAGACACCAGGACAATACAAGTCCAGCACAAAGAAGGGAATAATCCAGCTTTGATAAGAAGAAAATTGTTGGTGCCAACAGACACTGGAAATCTCCAGCTGCTGTTGCTGCTTCTGAAGTTTGTGATGCTCTGACTCGCTTTTCCCCTTAGGTGGAACATGTGGGAAGAACACCAAACAGAAGACTGAGGAGCACCCTTCTTCTCCCACCAAAAGCAGCTCCATCAGAGCACCTCTGCATCAAAGTGTTGCTTTACTTGCAATGACTAAGAAATAAATCAGAAGCACTCTAGGAAGTCATGAGACGAGAGGATTTTCTTTAACAGAAGCTAAAACAAGCAGAGACAAAATAGACAGTACTAGACAAGCCAGCAACAGAGAAAGTGAGTGTGAAACACCAGGGAAATCCCAAACACCAAGAAAATCACAAGTGAACATGCCAAAAGACTCAGATAACCACTCACTGATTAACTTCACATTAATCTCCAAAAACAACAGCCAAGCAACGTTGTTTTTTAGATCTGATCGGTCAAAAGCAATTTCATGTTCATGTAGTTCATAAATGTAGTTTCATATAAGTAATTGACCTTATATGGCACTCAATGAGAAAGCGTTTCCTTATAATAAACAATTAAGAACTCCTAATCTCTGAAAGTAATTTTTATAGGAGGGGATGATCATCATTTAGGGAGACACTTATAGCATCAATCCCCATGGAATTTGCTAGGTCAGATTTCGGTTTGGGAGTGGGTTGGTCATCTTTTTTAAAAAATAATTTTCATTAGCAAGTCAGGAAACATCTGACTGATGGCATTTGGCAATTAAAAATATGAAGCAGAAAACAGAGCAGATCTGAGCTACCCAGTGAGCTGGGTAGATTCTACAGTAATGCTGGCTACCAAAGCAAAAGGTATTTTAAGATAGCTATAAAAAACACATTTTAATAGTGAAACAAGATAAGATTACTCTTCCAAGAAGGTCCCCATGCAGGCTGTAGTAGGGAAGCAACTAAAGACAACTCAGTGGGACACTGGAACTAAAATTGTTAATAATATCCCTGCATTCTAACATTACCAGGCTACTGACAGTGCTTTCGGCTTTGCTTTCTGCAATACAACACACAGAATAATAATCACAGTTCTAGTATCCATTTTAAAAGTATCCACCTTTAAAATCATGTTTTAAAGATCAGTGGAAATAGGCCTAAGAGTTTTAAAGTGATTATAGAGTTAGGAAATAATCTTTCTGAACTTCAACTCCTACTGTATGTAATGAGATAACAGATGTGCCTTGATAATAGCACCTTATCATCATTCTGGACAAGAAATTCCAGAAAGTATGAGCTGGAAGCTTATGTTACACAATTTTTGTTCTGAGGACAAGCAGCTAACCTTGGAACGAGAACACCATCTCTCAGTATCTTTAAAGAAAGGCGGCCTCGCTGGAAGATATGCTTTACTCCACTCACACAACACCACCTTACCTCTTCAAGATACTAAGGATTCACAGCAGGTCATTATTCACTCCTGTTTGTTTCTCAACAGTAGATTCAAGAGATTATTTCCATTGTACACTTTTAGTAAACACTGATGCAGCAAGGTCCATGCAAATGAAAGTACAGATAAAGAAGTAGATGATAACATACTGTAAGATCAAGCCACCTGCCAAAAAAGCCAAATTGGAAGATGTACAAGAAACAGAAAAAGACTGGCTATTTTCACTGGAAGACCACTTGCTCAACTCTAATTGCTAAGGATTGCTGCAGTGTTAAAAGGTAGCTCTTCAAAGTATTTCTTGTAATGATATTTGAAGTGGCAAAAGAACTCCTTCCAAAAATAAAATAACCCTGCCCCAAATTATATCTGAAAATGTCTAAAATACCACGCTGTTCAATAAAGCGATAATGTTCAATAAAGCACACACTATAAAGCAATAAATGATGTCATTGGCCACTGAAACAAACAACAGATGCTGTCCCCCAAACCAGGATGAATGACCACAGTCAAACCTCATTTTGTAAGTATGAAAGTACAGAACAATGTCCCAAGACATTCCTCCTACCCTACAGCAGCTAATTTAATGTAGCTGGGATGAGTCTTTCCTAGTAAGAGAGGAAGCCAACTAGACAAGGACAGACCACTATGGTTTGACCAGATGGATTAGATAACAGCAAATTCTTTACCTCACAGCCACAGCAGTTATACAAGCCCACAGGGAAATTAAATGTAACTTACAACATACAAAGTTTAGTACAGAGATTATAGTTACCCAAAGTTACAAGATTTCACCCATGTAGCTTCTTTTAAGCTGAAGTATATGGCTAAAAAAAAAAGTCTCATGCTATTTCCCCACATACATAGAATCCACAAAAAAGTGTGTTAACATCTCTAAATCAAATAGCTCCAAAGAACCATGTTTATTAGCACCTACCAAAAATGCAAATACTGGGGAGACAACAGATAAGCTGACTACCCAAAGCTGCTCAGTTTCAAGGAGCCAATGTGAAAACATCCACACTCAAAATGACTATTTGTTGCAGAAACCATTAGCTACCAAGCTGTTTTTGCAAAGCTGCTCATAGTTTCAAGGAGCCAATATGAAAACATCCACACTCAAAATGACTATTTGTTGCAGAAACCATTAGCTACCAAGCTGTTTTTATCACCATTCAAATGCAGAGTTCTTAGACTGAAAATCTATACTTACGCTTTCAACTCAGCAAATCTCACAAGGATGCGAGCGTAGCTCTCATCCTGACTGTGCTTTTCTGCAGGTAACGCGGTCACCGCTTGACTGTAGCGACCAATGAGTCTGTTCAGTAGGTTAGCATCCATCTGAGGAACACCCTTTTTCTCTAGCCTGAGCAAAAAACACAGCCAGTCTTCTGGATTATTTGCCGTCATCATTATTTGATTAACAGTTCCAGAGTTATCTGACAGGAAAAAAAAAAAACCAAAAACAAAGGAGATCGATTAAAACTGCAGCAAACGTGAGCAGAAGAAAACACTTTTTATAAGCTTGCATGTAAGATCACTAGAGATTTTATTATTTTTTTTAAACAAGATTAGAGCACAGTTAAACAAGGAGAGATTAAATGTATTTTGTGGTCATCATTACTGAAGAAACATAAAACCTTAACTCCTTTCAGTTAATAGTTCTTTCACTCAACCTAGGTGAAGATACGCTGCAGAAGTGGCAATAGCGTAACAAAAAAGACATACCTGTTGTATCAGCTGAGATTTTAGTACAGTTAAACTCATCTGTAATATTGTCCTCATTTCTGTATTTGTTTTTCAAGTCTCTAACTCTGTTCATGATAGAGGCAATCTGTGGCAATGCTCTTTCACTGCGGTTAAGATACGCTGCAGAAGTGGCAATAGCATAACAAAAGACATACCTGTTGTATCAGCTGAGATTTTAGTACAGTTAAACTCATCTGTAATATTGTCCTCATTTCTGTATTTGTTTTTCAAGTCTCTAACTCTGTTCATGATAGAGGCAATCTGTGGCAATGCTCTTTCACTGTGGTCCTCCTCCTCCATCTGCAAACACAAGGGTAAAAACCAGCGATGTTACTGAAGAACCTTAATTGGAATTAAAGCCTCTCACATATTAATTAAGACTCAACTATAACCTGTAACACAAATACTCTATTAAACCTTAGCCAGTGTAGTTATACAAGTAAACTTCATGGCAGAAGCCAAGATAAATGAGCAAAAGGAATCAGTACGTAACCAATCTGGCCAAACACGAGTCAATGCTTCACAGCAGCCCTTTCCCATAAAATATCCCTGTTTTAGTCAAAAACTGGGAGGTGGGATACGTTGCCACAACAACTAGGAGTCTGCTGTATTAAACCACATCCTGAATCCATAGATTAGCATGGCTAAGAGGCAGTCCTGCTGCGAGCCACACACTCCTGCCACCTTTCTGGAATAAAGGGGAATGAAACCAGCATTTGTCAGACCTCACAGCAACCTGGCTCAGGGAAAAACGCCATCAGAAAACCACATAAAAAAGGGGAAGAGCTTTTATCTTTTTTCCTGATGTTTTTTCTGCTCTCTCAACTGTGTCACCAGACAGACAAGAGAAAGGAAAGGGGAGAGACTTTCATTTGATGACACCTGTAAGGCTGGGTTAGACTGCCTTCAATGTGTCACCCCACACACATACACCTGCCTTAAACGTTTTTCATATGGAAAGAAAAGTTGATTACTGTAAACTTGAAAAGCACCGTGTACATTTACCACTACCAAAAGGTCTCAGCATCACTTCAACTACCTCAGAGCCTGGCGAGACATTCAACACATGACTTTATAACAGCTTTGCAGAAAAGCAAAAAAAAAAGCGCTAAGTTCTCAAAATGGTTCTTTCCTTCAATTACAAAATGAAATATTTTCAGTGATCTAAAAAAAGTAGAAGCAAGCATCCCCCAAATAGGGCTGGAAGCAAAACCTATACAGAAGAAAAAAATATGAAAGGTAAAGACAACATTTTAAATCAGCGCTATCTGAAAAACATTTTTTGTTTCACTGAGCTGAGACCAAATAAAAAAGAACCCTACCTTCATTCTTCTTTAAAAAAGAAGTACATTGAATAAATTCTAATTTCTGTACTTGTTTGGAACTTCCTTTACTATCTGTTTCTCCCTAAAGTGCATAGGGGAAAATATTAGGCTGTTCTGAGGCTGGCTCTGTTAACTGTCCCATTTTGGGGAGACTATGTTGCTAAAATTACACTGGCGATTACTGTAGCAAACACTGTTTACATGCTGTTCTAAAGATGATACTTATTTACTTCATAGGGGAAAAAAACCCAACACACATGTCTCTTCATAAGGAAGATTTTGGTACATATTGCAGTTTTGCCTTTGATATAGCAGAGGGGGGCACGGGAACTCAATACACCAAATCTCCTCTTTACAGGCGAGAATATCCTTAAAGATCTGCCCTTGAACTGTACCCCATTCCCTCAAAGTACAGATGAAGACAGCTTCTCCAAAACCTGAAGCACCAAGATGATCAAAAGAAGTCTACCTCAGGTTTAGCAATACCATAATCTCTCAAATACATGTCAAACTTACGTTTCTGGTGTGCTGCTTAATTGTTCAAGGTTCAACGTGTACTATGGGGAGAAAACTTCTCCCAAAGAAAGGATCTGCCTTGACAAAAAAGTAACGTGGATGAGGGTCAGACTATCTCAGATGGTCTCAAGAATCCAACAAAGGCAAGAAATGTAGCTCTCCATCCTGAAGAAGTTCCTGTGTATCAAAAATGGAATGGTTAGACATTGAAAAGTAAATGAGTATGAGTATTAAGAGCCAGGGAAGCAAAGAATAAAGAGAACATGCATCCAGAGATCAGGAAGATACAGAACAACCTTTAAAAAAAGTGTAGTAAAGTAACTTCAACCCCTCTCACAGACCCACTAAATAAGGAGCCAAGGAACAGAGATGAAAAGGGCTGAGTATGTTGTAAATGGATGAAGTGGCAGTACTGGTCATCCATAGGATTTCATACGTAATACACCCAACAACACGTATTGATACTAAATAACAATATTCAGTCTCGAAATACCAGATTTGCTGTGTTAGACTATTTGTTCAGTTTTCCTCAAATGCAAACTTTGAGAAAGTATGAAAACACTTTTTAATCCTTGAAGAAAAAAGTATATTCTTCCTATCCCTGCAATCTACTGTAATACTGCATCTGTTGAGCAGTAAAAAATTTAAGAAAGTGCCCAAAAGCTTGCCTAGCTTTTTCCCTCCAAGCCTAGTAAAATATATTGAAGTTATCCTTTTATCTATATTTTCCTTATACCTCCAGACCATTGTGGCTACAAATGTTAAAGATTTCCTTAGCTCTGCTCTTATGGTTTGATTAAAGTGTCTTATAGTGTCTAATGAAGAACTTTGAGTTAAGTCCTCTACTCTGTGTAGAGGTGGCATTTGTACCTCCTCAGGTTCAGGAACTCTTTCCATGAACGTGTTTTCTGGTGCCTTCCTTTCCTGTGCAGAAATATCACACACAAAAAAGAGGGGGAAACTAACTGTAGCCTTTGTCTTCTACAGTATTTGCATTATTCTGCTGATATATTCAATTTGTTATTTAATAGCTCTCACCATTTAAGCAAAAATGCTCATGCTTGATGGTGGTAGAGCAAATGCTGTCAGTTACAGGGAGCAGAACTTCCTCCAAGTGCAGTTATATCAACATTGCTTAAATACACCAAAGACCCTACCTCAACATTAGCATCTATCACGTGGACATTCAAGTGTTTAAAAGTTAGTATCCTCGGGATCTTCATGCCTTGATTCAAGGCAAGTACAAATGGAAACACAGGATAACACCACACAACCACCTTCAGAACCACATGGCATTATCTGTCATCCCTCCAGTAATGTAGAATCTGGTTTTTATTACTGCTTTGAAGAAACAGATACTGGTTTTCACACTGCTGAATTTATTTAAAACCCACAGGCAGTCATGAAAGCAGAAGACCTTGCTAAAAGATACAAGCTTTTAGGTTAAATTTTAAAGAGCAAATTGCAATGGCAGAAATATCAAAGAAATCCTGAAACTTTTGCTTACTCCAGATGGACATTAAAAAAATGGTTACTAGAAATAGTCAAGCTAAATTTTTCCATAAGCAGTCACCAAAATCTGAATTCAGATGAGCGGCACAGCCCTCCAAATCCTCTCCAACTTCAGCTCCCTTCATACTCTGATTACAAGTCGGGGTTCCAAGATTATTAATTAGCTATCTAACTAAACAGACTCAGTAACTCACTTCTAACCTGTTCCCTAGTGCAGCCATTAGTGGAAGTCTCTCCTTTATCCAGTCATTATGTCACAAAATACATAGAAATGTGGTGATTTCGAAGCCTCTACCCAGGCTTTAAAAAAATCTTATGTATGTGCATAATCTTTGTTTGGTTTTGTTTACAAATCTTAAAGCCTAGACCAGGCTTTTTTTTAAAGGGAAACAAAAACACCCCAACATACAAAAAAAAAAAAAATTTAAGAGAAATATAGCCCAGGAATTACAACTGCTGAGAGCAGTTTTAATTGAGGGTATCACTACACACACACACAAAAAAAAGTTTTAAGAGACTAGCAATATTAACTATGAAAATAAATAGAAAAAACTAAAATCCTGGTGTTAGCTACAAAAGAACATAAGATTCAAAGATTTGAAATAGGACTAATCAGAAAGACACTGAAGAGCAGAGGAGCAGGTGAGCTACTGCAGCATCACCAAACCAGAGGCTGTATGGCAGGTAAGAGTTATCAAGAGCCACGATTTTAAGCTCTGAAGAGTTAAGGCTATAGCCCAGGAGTAACAACTACTGAGAGCAGTTTTAATTGAGGGTATCACTACAGAAATAGCAATTGCTTTAGCACCTGAATGGGTACGGAGTCCAAGATTTTTCTCTCCTTTCCCCCTCTCCTTGCCCACATGCGCCTTCCTGTTTCCAAAACAATTCGCCCAAATTAACATCAATCACAGTCCTGCTTTATATGTATTTATAGAAAGTGCTTCTCCTCAGCCTAACTGAGAATAACTTGCACAATAACCTCAACCCATTTGGTCTTCTCCTGTATTTGCCAAGCCTGCATCCATCTGTATTATCCAGAACTACTTCTTCTCTTAGTTTTATAATATACCGAGCACAAACAAGGGGGGGGGGGGGGGGTCACTGAGAATAACTTGCACAATAACCTCAATCAATTTAATCTTCTCCTGCATTTGCTAAGCCTGCATCCAGCTGTACTATCTAGAACTTCTTCTTCTTTTAATTTCATAGCAGAGCGAGCACAAACAAGGGGGAGAAAAAACACCACCGCTCTCGAAACTCCTTATAAAGTTCAGTTTAAAGAAGGTACAGAAGAGGAAGGCGTTGAGAGAAGGTGACCCGTGAGGTGAGCAGAGAGAGACAGCCGCTCCCCTTCCCCACAGGGAACCCGCCGAGGC